TACACACCCGTCGTCAAAATTGGCTAAAAAATACCTTACTGTCTCCTCGATCAGCGTGACGTTGTGTAATACAGTGAGTTCAGTTTAGTAACGTGGCTTTTCCCGTCGCACTATGCCCTTTTATATGTCTGCCAGTGTCAGAAATTAACCTGTTACCCGTAAAATTGGTTTCCAAGAGAATATTGTCAGTATCCGGTATGGACAGAATACGGAATCCAGTCAATTTTCTTTGAGAGTCAGGCCATAGCATTCGGCCTTTCTTGAGTATCTTACACAGCCTGGAAGACTCCTTCATTTCATTAACATCGCAAAATGCTTTTTTCATAATAAAACCTTTTATACCATTTTCCTCTAAGGATTGGTATTTTTAGGTTACTAATTTCTAGGTTAGGTCAGCTTTTTAACTGCTAGTTTTATTGTAGCAATAATGTTCTTAAATTGCGAAAGAGTTCAAAACTAAACTTTTAAGATAACCAAATGACAAGCAAGCAAAACGCTCCTCAAAGTATACCATAAAATATTACGTTGATTACTACTCCTAACAAGGGCACTCAGAAACTTGTGATTTTATTGCATTGCACGCACTGGCATCTCAGCTATGAACCCTTTAAGTTTTTCACATATTTTTGGCAGTTCATTAGCGCCACATATTTGGCATTAGCACATGCACCGAGATTTCCGAGCAGCAGTTCACTACCAGCTTACTACATGCATACATACATATGTATATCGTATTTAGCTACATACTTTACTTTAATCAATTACAAAAAGTGCTAAGATTTTTGGTTCCTATTAACGCCGACACGTATAATCATAAAAGTACGTTTAAAGCATATGTGTGTATGCATGAGAGCACATTCCAGAAATGTCTTTATTTTTGCATGAACATGTATAAATATGTTTGTACATATACATATATATCTACACCTGAATGCGCGCCCCTCACAAGTAACGTGGGCGTTCATTCACAATTAAGCATATTGACTTTAATACGTTGAGTCAAATTTTGTGAGAAGCACACACTCCTTAATAGACACACCCGCAAATATGTAGAAATTTATGTACATATTTGCTTGAAATCAGCATACCGTCTTCTACTCATGAATTTCTCGAAAGTCGTTCCTTGCTAACCGCTGATTACTTCTCGCTTCTTTTTGTTTGTTATTTTACCGTCTCAGCAATCTTCCGAAAAATCTCTACCCGCATTGAATTAATTGCTAGCGTGTTTGCTAAGCATTAAAATATCTTCGTGTGTGTACAAAAGGGTGGCTCTTGTAAAACAATTAATGAAGATTTTAATGTTCGCCCCCGCAGTTGGGTGTCAATCTGTGGAAAACTTAACAAAACAGTCTTTTGAAAGGATCTCAATGACAATTTTAATTTCAATTTGAATCGAATATGGAGGGAACAGGAGGAAATGAGGGTTTATTTCAATAAGTACGAAGAGCTTGAGATACTGCCAAGCGGGAAGTAGGCACGAATATTCTATCAGAAATAGGACATCAATCAGAATGTTTCAAGACCGACACTTGTGGTTTCAAAGACGATAATGGAATTTTCGTAAAAGACATCCAGCATAAATTTGAGATAAGGTGAAATACATCTGAGTACTTTTTAACCGACTTCCCAAAAAGAAGGAGGTTATCAGTTCGTCGGATTTTTTTTTGTTTGTGTATGTTACCGCATAACTTTGGATCACGTCAACCGATTTCGATAATTCGTAATTTGCATAGGTAAGGTAGTATCTCAAAGGTGGTCACATGCTAATCTGGTTTAGATCCGATCATTGGATCATGAAAAAATTAACGGTACTCCTAATTTTTATTCGTGCATAGGATGTTAATACATTGCCGGCCTAAACATTAGGGTGGTCAGCGCAGCATTCTCTATCTTAGAAATGCAGGGAAAATAAAATGCTGTGGACGATGACAAAAAAATGTTAAGACTTCAGAGGTTTGCTTTTTTGGCGAGGGATATGTATCGAAGCAGACGAAATGACGAAATTTACAAAAATTTGGAAATATCGTGCCAGAGGATGATGATGCTACTGTGAATACATCATTTACCTAGGTACTACTACCCCCCCTACAGTAATAGCAAAAGTGTGCCAAATATGTGTTAGAAGATTTAGGTCGACTATGTAGTTTGCGCTATATGCCAATTAATTTGTTTTGCACCCCTACTATACAGATTAGCACACAGTTGGGTTTCTAAGTAAAAGGACAAAATACGACCAATTTTGTACACAAAAAAGTTAAAGGTACACTCATACATATGTACATAAATGCCTAATATGTATCCTCTTTTCAAACTGAACTCAAATGTGGTGCCTTCCAAAATATTTGAAAATGTATTCTATAAGTGATTAAGAAAATATAATATAAGATACAAATTTAAGAGAAACGATAACTTTGTGTTAGGATTTCTTTATCGTATTACATTTGATAATTTATCTACACGTTCTTCTTATCTTGCATTTGATACATTCATTTTAAATTCATTTCTGCTTTAATTTAGACTATTATCTCGGCTTACTTGTCTCATTTATTTATCTTATTTTCCTTTTTTTCTACAGACATTTCTACTTCTAATTCGATGAGATACTTCTCGTATTTCAATCACTGAGCAAACAAACAAATGTCTAGCGGTGAGCATGGACATCTTCTACCTACACACATATACACTTAAGTACAACATTCGCAGCATAAAGACTTTATGTGTGTATATATGTGAGTTTATTGATCTTAAAAGGCACACATATACATACATATGTACATACATAAATAGATCATATACATATATGTATACATACATGCCTACATGTGCGCACGTATCCTGTGCGCCAACTCATGTAAGGCCAAAAACAAACAGCAGGATGTAGTGAAAACACACGTACTAAAACCCAAAGAACAAACAGAACGATGACTGTTGCATACAAAGAATGGCTTGCCAAACAACAGTAGTATGTATGGACACTGCTGCAGCGGCTCGACGCGACAAGACTAAAAAACGAGACACGAATATCTACCACAAGCATCGAATCTATTCAAGTAGGGACAGAAAAAAACGCCCCAAATTCGAGAGGAGATATACGTGAATGAAAAGCAAAGACGTGAATTGAATCGAATTGAATTGAAATGATTGAAAGCAAAGAAGTGTTGACTATGTTTTATATGTTTCTTTTTGAAATCTGTCTTTTGGATGCGAAAAATAAGCAGCCATATATATGTATATGTATGTATGCATGTACGCACGTGCGGAAGCCTAGTCGAAAAACGGATTGGTTCAACACTGGCGACAAAAAGTTCATTTTTAGAACACTGGTAGTGCACGCTCAATACGAAATTGTCTTATCGTAAATTTTTTCGTATATTCAAAAACAGAGACCGTAACGATTATAAGAAATAAAATTAAATATTGCTCTATAATTATTACTGAAAAATGGAAAAGTTGTTTTCGTCTCGCGAGATTATTATTTTAAAATGTAAATTATTTTCGTCATCTCATAATAATTATATGGGATTTTAATTTTTTTCCGTCTCTCGAGATGTTTATTTCAAGCCGGAAAATTGACCTATTTCGTCTCGCGAGATGATTATTTTAACATGTAAATTATTTTCGTCATTTCCTAATAATTATACGGGATTTTTATTTTTTTTCGTCTCTCTGGACGTTTTATTTCAAGCCGGAAAATTGACCAATTAGGACCACTTATTTTTTAAAATTTTTCATTTTCAAAACACTTTTGGAATATAAAATGGAAAAAAATGGTGTCCACACCATGCACTGATCGTTTTTCTTGAAAAATTTTACTACAAAACTGTCACTCATTTCGCAATTTTTAGGCCTAGTCGGATAATACATATGTATGTATGTAAGACAACAATGGGATCTAATCTTTTAGAATTTTTTAATTAATGAAAATCTACCAAGTTTCGTCCAGCTCAACGTGGAAAACCCTGACTGCGTCAAATCAAATGAATTAGTCAAAAAGATAAATACTCCACATTCTAGAGAAAGCAATTATTCACACAATTACAATGGGAAGTACTGCGCTGCAACTTTGGATACTCCTACATGTCGTATGAGTAACACTGTTTTCATCACACATTTCATACAAAACAAATAAAATAACAAGTAATTTTCGGCAAAAAAAAACCGACTTCACCTCTCATATAAAAAAAAAATATATATATATATCTCATAATCCACTGATCAGATCTTAACCAGATTAGTATGGGACCACCTCTGAGACACTACCTTTCCGATGAAACAGAATTATCGAAATCGGTTGACATGGTCCAAAGTTATGCGGTAACATTTATAAAAAAATATATATATATATTCCGACGAACTGATAACCTCCTCCTTTTTTGGAAGTCTGTTAAAAATAAAATCATTGAATTTTGCTAAATGTTGCCCAAATTGGGCTGGAATACCCCACATACATATATGAACATAAACGCTAGATAATCTAATTTATATATTTATCACCACGAACATATGTACTATATATGTATATGATTGTACACTCGGGTAGTCCAAAAAAAGTTAAGTCGGAAATTTAATGCTCTCACTCCCTAGGATTGCTCTATACCGAAAAAAGGTATACCCCTATTTTTTATTTTAAAATCAAAATATATTTAGAGGTCGCTCAAAGCGCGCAAAGTTTCCCATGTATTTTGTATGGGCAAATAAAGACTTTTTGAAGAAATGGCATAGAATCCATGAAAATCAAAATTTTTCAATGTGATAACTCTGCTTCTTTTCAGAAGACTTCAGAGAATAATGCCCAATTGTTTATTTAAACATTTTTTAATTTTAACTATTTTTTAAGAGTCTCTGAAAAATCCCAAAAAATCAAATATACAAAAAGAAGCGTTAAAAATTATTTCTTACTATACTTTTACATTTTTGGACCACCCTATAATACACTCCATTCTATTTTGTAGGCTAACATTTTCAATTTCTTGTATTATTGTCGTTTTTATTGTACATACCTGCCACAACCGTTTCGGAGCGCTGCAGTCGCACCAATACGTGTTCGATTAGGCCGACGTCCGTGCATGCCTGCAAATTGCGCACACTTTTGCGTAGAATAGCAATGAACACACTCCAGATCTCAGCCTGCAAGAAATCCAAGAAAATTAAATGGTAAATACATAGTACATAAAATAATAATCAGGGCTTGAATCAATAAATAGAAAAAAAACAGGGAAATCGAAAAATTTTGTAAGGCGACGGTAAAAGTTAGATTCCCGCATTCATTGGCGATGTGTTTTCAAGAACTCAAAATTCCGTAACTTGGGTAATATGCTCAATTTCAGCTGCTAGAAAAACCAGTCAACTGAAATTGTGTTTTGAGTCTCAAGTAAAATGTCAAGAAATATTTTCCATTCCTTTTGTCGCTTCGAAAACGACTTTGCGGTTGTTGTACATCTTGTTGAAGAAATAATACAATGGGACTACTTTTTTCATTTAGAAAAACTTAAAATGTTAAACTTTTTATACCTTTTTTACCTGTAATCCAAAAATATAAAAATAAGCTATTAATTCTAAATGTAGTATTCATCTAAAGCTCTTTGTGCTCTTTGAAAACACTTTTATCCTTCGTTCTGTTGTTTCAAAATTACAGGAAAAAATTCCAATTCATACTAAAGCATGTACATCGCTAGGACCCAGAGTAGCATTCACCACTTAAGTTCTAACACTGGTTTTAAGTCATAAGCCTTTTACATCTTAACTCATAAAGTGTTAATAAGCCATTTTCCTTTCCCACAAACAAAGTAATTTTTTTTTTGCCGAAATTGCAATTTATATAATAAACCAAAGCTCCTTAGCATTCTATAAATTTTGTTTACCATTTATGTAGGTTCATCTCAACGAAGAGAATGTTGGCTAGCAATTAATTTTGGTGTTAATGTTTTCTAAACTCGTTTATGGCAAAGCATTCGAGCAGTTTAATTTTACCGCTTTATTAATACCACACATTTTTGTAATTATTTGTTGAAAAGGATTTCTTACTGACGTCCGATGATAACAAAGAAAACCAACATCTTGAAAATGAGGTTCCTTTCATCCGTCCTCGCTATTGCTTATACCTCACTGGAATTTAATTAAAAATTTTGTACAGCGCAAATGTTTGATTTCATTTAAAGGAGTGTTGGGGAAGAGGAATTTGCCATTGAATAACTCACTCTAAACGGTGGAGCGTTGAGCACCTTTAAGTGGCATTTTGGCTTTGAATTGAGGGTGGTAGAAATTTTAGTTATTTTCTTGTTATCTAGCTCCTTATTTAAAGCTCCTTCTTAACTTTAAAATGATAATGGAGTTTTGTAGTCATGCGTAAATATGTACAATATATGTGCATGTATGCATTCATATGCTAATGCACAATGTTATAAAATAAACAGAAGGACGAATTTCAGCAAATATCAGCATTTTGAACTCTAGATATGCAGTTTTATTATACATTCAGTTTTAGTAAAGTAAAGTGCATACTTGAAGTATCTGGGATTTACGACTGATTTTTGGCTATTTATTTTACCGACCGTGTAGAGCATTTTTTCCATGTACTTGCAAAAAAGTTTTCGAAGTTATATGGAAGAAAATACGTGCCCCCATCATCGAAAAAAATGCGAAAAATCATCTATAAGCCCTTAAAACGCGCACTTTATTATACAAAAATTGAATACGATACAAAACTGCATGCCTTTTTTCAATGCTGGTTAGGTCAGGTCCGAGGCCAATTCACTGAGACCTTCCAGGTCCATTGTGATACACGGAAACGTCAGTGGCTATCCTGCATAGAACCATTTTGAAGCTCTTATGACGCGTTGGATTGGTTTTGTTCCTTCAACGGATAGTTCCGTAAGAGAACTAAATAAGTGCCTACCTAGAAACTCCGCTCTGCTCTTAGCTAAAGCTGGGCAAGTACGGAAGAATTGCTCACTTGGAACCTTCTGCAATATTCAGTGGAGAATATACTCGAAGCAATGCTACCAAATAGCCCATTACCGGTTCTACAAGCCATAACGCTCGAAATATCCTCTTTTGAGAGGCTGAGAAATTCTTCCGTATTAGTAGTTGTACGAGTGCCCTCGTTTAACCATGACCTATTGGTTATTGGTCCCTTGAATAATATTTTTTGTAATCTTTAATTTGCAGGTTGGTATGGGAATCTCAATCTTATATCTGTTGTCTGCAGTGGAAGAGTGGTACCTTTCCCGGCTAGCTCATCGGCTTTGTAATTTCCTTCAATACCTCTATCTCCCAGGACCCAAATAAGGCTGGCCTTGAAGACGGTGCTAGTGCTTTGTTCTTAGCATTACTGCGTTCATTCATTTGATGGCCGTCCGGCTATCCGAGAAGATATTAATCGCAGTCTTCATTACGGCATGTATTCTATACATATGTAGCTAAAACTTCTGCATGATAAACTCTACTGTGGTACGGAATTCGGATTCTTGGTGTTTTTTACACTCCCTTGTTGGTGGGATGTTCATCTTAAAGAGCCTTTCGAAGGTGGGTTTCGCAGCCCAAAGAGTAAAGTATGCCGTAAGCGTGGCCGAACCGCCGATCTTTCCATAGAGCCATATTTATTAATCTGAGCATAGAAGCAGTTTCCACGTAATTCTCTACTAGATTTAGTTTAAACAAATATAACACAAATGAACTGGAAAGCAAAGAATAAAATTTTCAAACTTAAATATAAAATCAAGAATTATCAAATTAATATTTTTGTTTTTGGTAAAAAGCTTTAAGTCAATCAAAGGTACATTAATTTTTTTAATGAAAGTAAAATTGATTGTTTAGCGCAAATAATGCTTTTTGAATTATTTTCCTAGGTTAGCGTATACCTGGTGAAAAAATTCAATTGATTAAAAAAGTAAATTTTTTATAAAACAAGAATCGAAATTTTACAAACTGGCCACTTCATTTAATTGCCCAATAAGTTCTCTAACCGTCAAGAAATCAAAAGATTCGAACGAATGGTTGCTGAAATATTTCAAAAAGTGTAAAAGCTTGCATAAAAATTTGCTTGCAAATAACTCGTCAAAAAAATAAAATTAGCGCAAAATCCTTGGTGTCAACACTGTACACCATGTTAACTTTCAAAATCGGTCAATGAAACATAAAAGTCAACTTTAGGTGGCCTACTTGAGAAAACTTGTCACTTATAAGAGAAAATAAGGCAGGTATTTTTTAATGCCCAACTTTTTCATTAAAATTTTTGCCATTTAATGCTTACTAGAAATCCGTCATATTTAAAACATCTTAACGGCGTCCTCAAGGGCCTATATAAAAAAGCTGAAGTATTTGGCAGTATTGTGTCTTTATATATCCCTTATCCATAACTCGAAGCTTTCTCTTAAAAATTCTGCCATGGAGCTTTTCTTGTTCACACACTTTCCCGCAATAAGCAAGCAGTTATCTATCGGATTCGAATCTGGACTAAAACCATATGGCTTTGGGGAAATTACTTTCGAAATAATGCCTAATAAACTAATTTTTAGTTATGGTAAATTATATCTGACCACTGCAGTGCAATTTTGTAATTTTTGCAGCATTATATGGTCTGCCATATGGGACAAACAAATCTCAATGCATGGGTATAAGTGTGAGGCAATCAAAGCATCTTCACCCTCTTATAAACACATAGCGACTTTATAATTTTTCAAGTGGGAGAATTAGAAATACTTCCAAGTATTAATGCATTGTACATAATTTAATTTGTCAGCCCATAAATGCAGGACACAATGCCTCCAACTCGATGGCCGGAATAAAGCTTGTCCTCCTTCTCTACCATAGCAGCAATTTTGACTTTATTTCCAACTCCCATAGACAGCGCTATAAAGAAGCATAAAAGTAGGCAGTTTCTGCCCATAAAAAACCAAAGCAATAAAAGAAAAAAAGTGAGCTTAAAAAAACAAGCAACAAGCAACAAGCAAACACACTTTGCTGCTTTCGCCCTTAGACTGTGAACGCCGTTGCTTTATTTCCTCAAAGAAGTTTTTGTGTGCCAGGGGCATTGTACTACCCGCTAACAAAGTCTTTGCTCTGTTGTGTATATCTTTTTATTTTCATTTTTACGCGTTAATTTTTTTCGTTAAAAATTAACTTCATTTTTAGCCGTTTGCTGTTTGTTTTTATGGCATTATTTTTTTATAAACGCCCACAACGATTGTGTGTACAGCTGTGAGTGGCAATTGAGAGTGTGCGGTAGCGTTGGAGGAGCTCTTCAAGGGCAATCGAAGTAGAAGTGAGGTGATGTGGAGGGCGCGCAGGTTCCTCTGAAAAATCTAGGAAGTTTCTTAAATTTTTTTTCTCCCACCTCATATGTATGTACACATGTTGTCTAGCTTTAAACTAAAATATAGCAATTTATGTAATGTTGCGTATAAATTAATTAAATTAAATGCTGTCAAAAGTACAAGATAGGAAGATAGCGTGTAGGCGGCAGCAGCGTTGCCGATGTCGATGGCAGGGGGGAGAAAATGTGACATGCTTTGAAATTAAATATTATTTTGAGGTAGTGTGGGCAACGAGGAAAAAGTGTGTCCCATTTTAAACTTCTATTCCTGATAAAAAAAAAAAAGAATTTAATAATCAGCATTTTTTACAGATGGTAGGACTGCCTTAAATTTGAGCTAAATATATTCTATGAACTGCTAGGAAATTAGATTTTTTCAAATATGCATACACTCTTTCTGTTAAAATTTAAATCGCTAATATTTCATCTCTCTTCCTTTATTCTTTTAAATTTTTTTAGTGACCTTAACTTAGTAACATTTAGCACTAAATTTAGTCAAACATAGTCTTATCTTAGCGGCATAATGTTGTTCGTAATTTTTTACGTTTGGAGGGATGGGGGTAGATAGACTTCTAAGAAGTTTGAAAACCTCAGCGCATGACTATTGTAATTTTTACTGCGCCTAAAAGCTTCAACAAATATGGCACTCTTAAGGAAGAAAAATCAAATGTGGCATATTTTAAAGCTTAGTAGAAATCACAATAGTGATGTGCTGAGTTATAATTTTTTTAGAGAAGAAAATCAAAGCATATATTTGGGTACCACAGAAGCCCCCAAAAGCCTCGTATCTGTGGCAGAAAGTGCACTCTTCTGT